CTACTACCTCACTTGGCCACTAGTTCTTTTAATTTTGAGAAACACACTTCTTGATATTATCTAGAGTTTAGAATGTTAATAGCTCATAGAAAATACACTGGTGAGTTGCTAAAGTCACACAATTTATGAACTGTGATTTTTGTTTTCTCAAACACAAACAGCAGAGCATTTTAAAATTTAATTTGCAATATAAATGGTGGTATTGTTTATTCAGCATTGTAATTAGCATGGTTTCCTGTCCAATACAATTCAAGTACTGAAAGATTAAGGGGGAAAAAATACCCTAGAAACCATAATGGTCTTGCTCAAACCACATTTGGCTCAGGTTCACGTGCAAATGCGGGATGCACTGCCTCTGGTGGAAATAATGAAGCCGAGAAGTCACCAAGAATCCTGAGTTCTGTTAGCCTACTGACCTACTAATTTATGTTATCCTGCTAACGTAAGTGGGAAAAGTCAGATTCTAACGCATGACCTAAGACAGTGGAAAGATACAACCACCCTAAAAGAATTCCTCATTGTTTTACCAAGATATCTAAATTTCTTAGCTTGGGCATCTCTGCTTGTACTCTTTCTATAGTACACGAAATAAACTTTCATTCTATTGGACTCAGTGACAAAATAATTTGAGAGAGATAACTCAATTAGAAAAAGTTACTTAGATGTATAAATTAGCCAACTGAGCTCCAGCTACTGCTTAAGTAGAATTTTGGCTCCGGAGACTGTTACAAAGAGCATTTGATTCAAAGTTTAACATAGAAGCAAACACTTATTCTTGGTGGAAGAGAAAAAACAGACAAAACATTTTATTTTATATCTTGATATATTAGTTGGCATTGTAGAAATGACCTTAGAGATAGCCATTAAGCTTCACTGCATTTCTTAATGTCCCTTTGGTTCTATCATAAATTGAGATCATAGCATTACGAGAGTATTTATAGAGTTAATATTTTCCAGCCCTCATCTGGGTTCATCTTTCTTTAGATTTCCTCCCAGTACACAGAGGAGGCCGTTTTGGAATTTGAGAAAACAACCAGAGACTTTTTCGGCTATACCCCTCCTAAATTCATACATTTTTTATTAACAAATGTAAATTTGAGAGGGAAATACCATATAATACAAGTCTTTGGGGAATATTCTGTTGCGTAAGGATGGCTTACACTTTTCATTTGAATGGCATGGATATTGAGAGCTTAAACTCAAAAATCATCTGTACTCTAGCTCTGAATCATTCCTCCTGTGAACTCTGCATGAATTTTTATAATAAACACGCACATGTGTATGAAGCATGTGACTTCATAGGCAGGGTCTGCAGGCAGGCAGTTATCTGCAGGGTCAAGTACTATTGGAGGATAACCAAGAATTGACTGACACATATCTTACAGAACTGGAGTTAATTAATAGGTCTACCAATTCCCAAGTGCACTACAGGAAACACAAAATCTGCTTAATACAGCAATCAATGACATACTCTGTATGGTCATAAGGCATTCACTATACAGCAAGAGGAGATTTCAGAATACAGTAATCAGGAGTTTAAATATTGCTATTAAAATGCTAGACTAAAGTAAGATCATTCACAATTAGAAGACTAAACAAGGATTTCTTTGCAAACTGCTGATTAAAATTTAAAAGGAATTTTTAACTTCTTCATATTAGATCTGAAGCTATTAAATGATGAAGGAAGTTTTGCTTTGTTTCAAAAGTGCTATCTTTATTTCTGTGGCATCCAGCCATCTTGAAAGGGTTAAATCCGTAATTTCTAAAGAATGGATTTCAATAATCATGGGGACTCAATATAAGACAGTTATTTTAAAGAACACTGAAAAGAAAAAACTGGATGTTAAAAAGTCCATGAAGTCATGATAAAAGCAAAATGTCTTTTTTGTGCCATTATATTATTTATAATATATAAAGTCTGGACAATAGTTTAAAAAAGAAACTATTTCATTATTTTATGTAATGAGGACAGGAAACAGCAGAGTATACATGCTACTTTTTCAACCAGAATATAGGAAAAAGTTTGTCTTAGTTCTGAAAGCCCATCCCTGTAAATAAAAGTTACTAAATTCAAACTTCAGGAGATCTTTTGAACTCTAATCCAACAAGCCTGGCCTTAGTCCTGCTTGCTATTTTATTTCTTATTCTGCCAATCCTTCCATTACCATCATGACTTTCCTAACTGCATGAAACACATATTGTCTCCTTGTCTCAATTTCAAAAACAGTATAACTGTTTAAATACAAGTGTAGTATTTTAAGTACCAATAGAGATCAATTTAAAGCAGATTCTCTTTTAAGGCAGCTTAGCATTGAAAATTGAATTTTATGTTGTCTAGACAAGCCATCTTGATAATATCTTTTCCAGAATTTCCTAGATTGACTGTCTAGACTGCTCCCAATTCCCCTGGATGATTGCATAATCATCTTCCCTCTGACCCTTAAAATAGTCTGGAATAGCATCTCCCCATAACACAGTTGCCATGCAATTCAAGACCACTGAGCTTCTGAGGGAGGACTTTTCTCAAAGGTTCTGAGTTTTAGAATTTCAATAAAACACTTGTTCATCAATATCCTACCACAAGGTGATTGGATGGGAAGCTTTGTTTATTTATGTCAGTGGAGGAAAAGGCCTCCTCCACTTGGCTGGGTAAATGGCCTGGCTTCTGTACCTCTGCATCCTCCCACCCACTCATAAACCAGCAATGAGTAGCTGATGAGGTGAGAAAGAGGCAACTCTGCTAAAAAGCAACTTCAGAAAGAAAAAGAGAAATCTATATTTGGGTAAAATTGTAAAAATACGGAAACTATATGTGATATTTTAATTTAAATGGCCATCAAGATCATATAAGCTTCAAAATTAAAAGTAGAGGAATTAACCTAAATACAAAATGACCTGCCAAGAATGAGAGCCTAGTGCAGTAACTTATAAACTCTGATGAATGAGGTACATTTAATAGCAAAGTGACAGTTATTACCATAAAAGCTGCAATGGCTTTCATCCTGCGATACACATTCATATTTTAAAAATGACAATCTGCATTTTTTTTAAGGATCTAACACCTATTAAGTAATGTCGAACTCTTATAACTGCATGAGGTATAGACCATTCTCATTACCACTTTCTAGAAACAAAGACACAAAGGAAATTAGTAGCTTAGTCCAGATTAAGTATCAAGTATTGAACTAAGGTTGGACAAAAGCTCTCCAGTGAAAGGCTAGAGGACATGAGTTTAATAATGAAGGATTACAACTCCTTGAGTTTCTACAGCAAAAAATGTCAGTGGGCCATGCCGTGGTTGGAGGGTTGGGAGGCAGTTGGAGGTAGTAAATTGATTTCTCACTTAAATTTAAGGACACTGAGGATCATAGAGGTTTGCTTTGTTTTTACATATTCTGAGACAGAATCTCAGAGGTTAAGCAATTTTCCTGGACTCCACAGATAGTAAGTTGTAGAACATGATGAGAAGCCAGAAATGACCCTAAAGCCCACCTATTTTCCACTAACCCTGTGTTTGGAGCTCAGCTCTCTGGGTCCCACTGTCCCATATAGCAGGCACATGTGAAAAGTGCAAGACAACATGCATAATGTTCTCCAGAGAAATCTCCAACAAATAGAAAAGTGGGACCCAAGTTTTAGGTTGCCTAACTATTGAAAATAGCCTAGAAGCAAGTGAAGAAGGAAAGATTTATCCAGAAGTTGCTAAAAAGTTAATTATGCAAAATCTGCAGGACTGTATGCAAGAAATTATTCCTAATGTCATCAATACAAAACAAGTAACTTAAGTACAACTGCCTTTCCTTAATGTTTAATTTACTTAAAACTCCTTGGGTATGTCATCAGGTACAGAATGCAAGCTTGTTAAAAAAAGAAGAAGGATGCACGGGGGGAAGAGGTTTATGAGGGCAAATGTCTAAACTAGTGAGAACTTGGGAAATGGTTTTAATCTTCCCAGGATCATCAGGAAAGTCATAATAATCATGTTTAGTCTAGAAACCACATAGCCTCAAAGGTGTCTTCTTATACAAAGAAGGTACAACACAAAAATGTTTTGATTATTCAGTGTTTGGGTTGTAAGAACATATTTGTATCACTTTTGGATGCCATAAGAAAAATAGAAAGGATTTAAAGTTATAAAGAAGTGGCTAACATGTAAATTACATTTCAACTTTAGGATTCCAGAAATATTCTGGGAACAAACCTTTTATCTGATGAGTAATTCTGGATTCCAACTGGAAGAAAATTCTGTCACAAAAGATTTTTTCACCACATGAACACTTTTGTTTTTTTGTAGGATTTTGTGCCAAAAATTATAAAGGGCTTACAATTAAAGGCTACTGATAAATCCAACCCATGGAATTGCTTTCAAACTAGAAACTTTTCCTTTGAATTCATCCCTAATTTCAAGTTTTGCTTAAATTTACCCAACTTAAATTTTTCACTAAAACATCTTTTAGGAGCAAGAGACAAATTAACATTTTTTATCTTTTTTATACTGACAAAATTATAGTCCAAAATATAAATATAAAGCCTAGCTAAGCAAGAACACAACTGTGAGCAATTTAGGTCAAACATGTGATCAGAGCATTGAGCACATGTATGGCATCCTTTCTTAATCCCTGGGCAGAAGAAAACAACTGTGGTGGCAGACACTTCTGGCTGAGGAGGGCAATGGTGGGGAAAGCTGGCAATATACAGATGAAGGGGAAAACAGCACACAGTCTGCTGACATCTGCTGCCCATGCAAAACGGACTGGACTCTGCAGCGGAGAGGAGAGGCAAACGCTTTCCTCCTCCCTTCTCCCTGTGCCAGTTAGTGCTGAGTGATGGGCTCAATTCTTTTTGTATTCACAGATTAAAATTAAAAATAACATCTGAATTCCAAGTAGGAGCTATCGAACAGCACACTAATTTCTTCAATGAAGTGAAGAAATTAGTAATAAAGTATTTGAAAAGGAAGGGGTCACGGACAAACACCATTTTTAAAAAGCCAGCTTTACCTCAGGATGATGTCCAATTTCAATGTAGGTGCAAACTGGATGAAAAGCCCCCGTTCCACAGGCATACAAATGAGTCTGATTATAAGCCTTAAGCACCTTGATGAAATTAGCACATTCTTTCTGTAAAACAAAAGGAAAACCAGTGAGTTCTAGCAGTGAGCATGGCTGAGGTATCCTTTAGTGTGTTAGGCATGTTTGAACAGATTTCTTTTGTGTCCTTTCACATTAGTTTTTATAGCTTATTATTCTATTGTTTGTTCACATTATTACACGAGACACAGAAGGTGTTTGCTCTCATTGTTACATGAAACAAAGAAGTTCTTCTTTTTGAGGGGTAAAATATAATATTCCCTTTAATGTTTTTATTAAAACTATAATTTATTTATTAAAAAGTGGAATAAAGTTACAGATAACCAATTATCATAAGTGACTTTTCTAGAAATGAGGGAAGCAGCAAATTATTTAGCCAATTAGTTAAATCATAATAATGATGAAAATTTATTTGCAAAAGTCAGCTTTAACTTTGGAAAAGTGAATCAAAAATAAAAAGTAATAAAAGCCTCTACTAAACATAAATGTGAAACATCATCAGTAACTCATATTGATTGGCAACTAACTTTGAACTTTAGCAGTGCTACTTACTGGGCTGGCTCAGTGCTTACCCTGGTGGCTCAGATGGTATAGGACCCACCTGCAGTGCAGGAGACCCAAGTTTGATCCCTGGGTTGGGAAGATCCCCGGGAGAAGGGAATGGCAACCCACTCCAGTATTCTTGCCTGGAGAATTCCACAGACAAAGAGTCGAACATGACTGAGTGACATGCGCACACACACACATATATGCGTGTGTGCGCATGCGCGCGCGCGCGCACACACACACACACACACACACACACACATTGATGCTTACTAGTGAGCTTCACAGACTTAAGAAGATAAAACCACCTCCTCTTGAAAAAAGTCATTGAAACCTCAAAGATGGTTTGTATGTAAGATGAGACAGAGAAGATATTAAGAGTTTAGAAAGTCTATAGACTGAGGGTTTTATTAGAGTGGCTATAGTTAATAAATATCTTCATGCAGTACATGTACATTGTAAACCAATGCATGGATACCCTTACCAATGAGTCATGGATCCTCCAGGTAAAGAACATCTACTTTATAAGAGGGGATTATAGTCATATCTTATTATGTATAGAAGTTTAGACATTCCTTCTATTTCATTACACAAATGTCACCTAAGAAATATGATAGAGCTATTTATATTTTTCTATATATTCTATCTGTAGACCCTATGAAAGAAAGTGTGTTTCTACAAACGAATAAGAATCTTAACCTTCTGTTCCTGTTAAGGAAAGATTCAGGGGAAAAAAATCAGATGAAGTATAAACTAGATAATTTTATTGCCAAATTAACCCTGAGTAGAAAAGACATAATTTTTGCAAAATATTTTTAAATAAATGAGTTGCTAGCAATACTGTAAAAAGAAAACAATGAAAAGAGAAATTCAAACTTGGTGCTCTGTGACAACCTAGAGGGGTGGGATGGGGGGGAGGTGGGAGGTAAATTCAAGAGGGAGGGGACATAAGTATACCTGTGGCTGATTCATGATGATGTATGGCAGAAACAGCACAATACTGTAAAGTAATTATCCTCCAACTAAAAATAAATAAATTTATTTTTAAAAATCTTCAATAAATGCTATGGTCTATTAACCATATAAAAATCTTTAAATACATATAAGTAGAAAATATGACTATGTCATGGGACATACATTATCTATTTTTAAATATTCAACTGATTAATAATTGCACTGAAATGTTATGTTATTGACCATAGACTTTTTATACACATAGCTTTGTGTTTTTGCCTATAAATGTGGAAATAAAAACCAAATATATAACTAAAAGTGCAGATAAAGATCAAATGCAGACTATAGTGCAAGCAGTTCTGGCAAATGTAACAGAGAATTGGGTTGGTCCTGACACCTGTAAGTTTGTAACACTCCCTTAGGTCATTCTCTATAACATGTGACTCTTCAAGTGAAAGCTCAGAATGTATTTGGACTTATGTAGTTAGTTGGAATTTATAACTGAGATGTTACAATAATTTAAGTACATTCCCAAGTGACATTTGTATTCTGTGTTTATAACTGATGATTTTGGTTTTAACTTTAATGCCTCCATAAAATAAAGAGCAGACCAAACCTGAGCAGAATAATTGTTATTTAAATTCAAATACTTGCTTTCCATCATCACTGATTTATCCAGGATGAAATCCGAGGATGTCCTATAAACATATCATGCCAAAAGTAAGTTATACCTCTATAAGGGAAAACATGAAACTTGACTGTTAGGACTCTTCACCCTTTCTTATCAAATGCTGAGCAGTTTCGGGAAGTAGCTAAAAGACACATCTGATTCGTCTTACTGTTTTGTTACTTACATCCTGAGTCTTTCCTTTGTCTGGAAAGGCATTATAACAAAGAAAATTAAGCACTGAAATCAACTAACTTTGAAATTAATTTTGCAAGTTTCTATAAAGAAAAATTTTCCTAGCTTAAGAGCATCTTACCCATGTACCAATTTGAACATGACACATCTTAGACAAAACCTTAGGTAAGCTTATACATAATCCAACTCTCAAGTCTCTTAGCCACAAACTCCCCATTCTATAACAGTTTCTCCTCTTTGAGAAAGAGGATAGGACATGAATTCTTGGTCAGAGGAAAGAGGCTGTGGACAGGGAAACATCTGATAAACTCATTTACAAATAAGACATTCATGAGTCTTACCCAAAGGATTTACTTGTAGTCTTAAGAAAATGCAGTTATTTGAAAATGAATTATTTTCAGGAAAATGTTTTATGAAACATGTAGGTGGCCACATACTCTGCTTTTACATAAAGACAGCCAACCCTGATTGTGGACTCAATATTACAACATTCAAGATTATAAACAACCATTTCCAGCACCATATGTTGAAATTAAGAAACTGGCTGTGTACATACATATTGGTAAGCAAACGAATATTCTAATAAATAGCAGTGGCAGACCCAGATGGATGACTTATTCATTCTAGAAAAGAACAGGGTTTTACTTTGCCCACCAGGCCTATAAAGCTACATATGCAATTTTAAATACAAATCAAAATTCTTTAATCTCAGTAGTGACATATAAGGGCATTATAGAAATTTGAGAGGAGACCCTAGATTGCCACAATAAAGAAAGGAAGGAAAATTTTATAAGCATAGATCCTGTGCATACAAGTGAAGGCTATGTCACTTTTGCAACTGTTATGAATTCTAAGATCACAGCATCTGTGGGCTCTTATCTCTTAATCAGTTGGATAACTGATTAGAAGTAATAATTGACTGAAAAATTCTCAAGGTTCTTGAGAACTATGTAACTGAGCTACCCTGAAAATCCTAATTTTCTTTTGTTCTCTGTGGGCTGTGTTGTACTGTGATAAGTTGCTCCACTCCTGTCTGACTCTGTGCAATCCTATGGACTGAGCTTGACAGGCTCCTCTCTCCATGGGATTCTCCAGGCAAGAATGCTGGGGTGGGCTGCCATTTCCTCCTCCAATTTTGTTACTGTTGCTGTTGTTGTTGTTATGGTTGTTGTTCTCTATTAACTGTCAAAGAAGCACCACTATAATATGACAGCTACTCTTCTACAGAGCTGCTAAGAAAAGAACCACAGGACTGAAGCTGTGAAACCTGGCAAAGGATTCTACTAAGGATGCTGATAATGGATTTTATCTGTATTACAAAGCAGCTAGGCCCACCCTATTGGCCTGAGGCCTGAATGATTTACCCAGTGAACTCTCCCAGTTGGCAGCAGGCTACACTGTACCATACCTGGGGGCTAACTCAGTATTATTTTGGTGTGAAGTGAAGTCCCTCAGTCCTGTCCGACTCTTTGCAACCCCATGTAGCCCACCAGGCTCCTCCAATCATGGAATTTTCTAGGTAAGAGTACTGGAGTGGGTTGCCATTTCCTTCTCCAGGGGATCTTCCCAACCCAGGGATCGAACCCGGGTCTCCCGCATTGTAGGCAGACGCTTTACCGCCTGAGCCACCAGGGAATCCCTATTCTGATGTGAAGGTTGATGCAAATAGAATGAAGAGAAATTTCTTGGATTTATATAGTGTGTTCAGACACTTGAACTGAAACGAAGAAACTGAATGAAATACTTTCAAAATTGGTTTAAATTAGCTGCAAGAAAACTCATCAATAACAATATATAAGGAAACAGTGAATTAAAAGAACTGGAGAGAGAAGAAACCAAAACTTGAAAGAGACATAGTGAAGCAAGGATTTTTCTTTAAACAGAAAACCAACACAAAAGAGTATCAATCCTGTCATTCATTTGTCTTCATTCTCCTGCTTGTTGTTGCCAAGGCTTTTGAGTGTTCCAAAACAGGATATTCATTTTATTTGGAAGCAGCCTGGACATTCCTCTAAAAAAGAAGGAAGCGTGGCAGAAAAAGGAAACACACTTCACACATTTCTGCTCTAGGGAGACAGAAGAAGAGTGTTTCTGACCTTTTCTTGAACCATGACGATTCTTAAAACTCAGAATGTAATGTACTTTTTGGCATTCAACTACTGTGCTGCTTTGCTCAGCACTGGTGGATTTACAACGTAATAAAGAGAATGTAATCAGTTCAAAATGAATTCATTTTTCAAACCTGGATCTTTTTGGAATTTAAGCTGATGCACACAGACAAGTTAGCAACAAGCCGGCTTCCCGAGAGTCAGGCAACCATACTGACCTCTTATTTCACTGAAATGTACTCCAGAACAACAGCATTATAAATTGTTAACTTAGCCTCATGGTAAAAGTAAAGGCAGTCATAAACCAGTAAAGCTCAAGGCCACACCTGATGAGCAATGATTCATCATCCTTAGTGACAAACCATTTACACTTATTTTTTTAAGAGTTTCTAGTGTCTTAAGGTCAAATGTAGAGAGGAATTACACACAGAGATATTAGCCTGGAAAAATAAATTACAAAGAAAATGTCTACCCTCAGAAAAAGATATAGAAGCCAAATGCACAGTGATTCAAAAACAAACATTACAAATATGTAGCACTGATTAGACTGTGTTAAGCAG